CTGTGCTCTTCTCCATTGGGGGAGCAGCCCCTGTCCCTGTGTGTCCCTGCCTTTTTCAGATGGAATGTTTGTGTTGACTTGACTCGGTATCTGACCTGCTGAGCCTATAACCAGACACCTTTCCCCTTCTTCCTTTCTTCTTTCTGATGCCATCTGAAGGAAGGTCTGTGTCAGTATGTTGTGAGTGTATCAGGGTCCCCTCCCACACCAGTTGGTCCATAGGTGTCCAAGCACTGGCTTTCCCATGTGGGGAGTTAAGACAACTGGCTTATGCAGAGAGGGGGACTCTGCTTCCTGTATTCCTGTGAGGTCAGAGGCCAGTGATTCTCATTTTGTGTGATTGTGAAAAGAGGCGTGAAGAGAGGTACTATGACCTATGGTGTCACTAATGACACTTTGAAACCTGAAAGGTGAAGGGCAGTCAGTGAAGAAAATCACAGCATGGTCAAGGTACAGAGAACAGAGCAGTCAGTTGTCAAAGTGATTTAATTTCTCCCTCTCACAGTCTGTGGGAGAGGCGTTGCGTTAATCTCCATCCTGCACAAGCATTGTGATGTCCGGATTCGGGTGGTCAGGAAGGGGGTAGTTCCTACTGAGAAGCCTTTCGGCTTAATTTGTGTTTTGAGATGTAGAGGGAAACATCCAGGTTTTGTGAGAGTTTTAGGCCTAGCTGCCTTTGGAAAATGGGCCTGGAGCCCCTGTGTGTTTAAACAGCTTTAAAAGAATGGTCTCCTCTAAGTAGCTTTGCTATTTAGATTCTCTCTGATGACTCATGTTGGAGCACCTCCACTCTCACCACAGAGTGAGGCAGGGTGTGGGCTTGTAAACCTTCCCAGCAACAAGCACACGTTCCCTGTAACCAACAGTCCACCTATGACCTGGGACTCAGCCAGCACAAGATGAGCCAAAGTGCCCTGTAACCAAGGGTCCCCTCATGACTCAGCAGGCACAAGATGAACCAAAGCATCGAATTACTGGGAGACCCTTGCAACCAGGGTCTGACCATCTTGGTTTCTTCCCAGGAGTAATTGCCTGTGGAAATTGTTCCTTGTATTTGCAGAGCTATTAAAACACTGGTGAAAGAGGTGGTGCAATGCTTTGTTAATGGGTTACAGTGCTGTGGGCACTGTTGTTTCATTCGACAGATGAGAAGTGGCTGGAAGTGACCCTCTGTCTCCTGTAAGAGCTGTGCTTGTTAAGTGACATTCCCCAGTGCAGCCGAGTCTGAGGTAATGTAGGCATTTGTGCTATATTTAGCACAGTATTAAATAAGTTTTCAAGGCTTTTCTTGCTATAAATAGAGGGATAGGTGTATTTTATAGCATCTGTCTTGAGAGCCACTTTCTGACCTAGGCAGTGGCTGGACAGGCGGAGATGCACAACGCTGGTGCTGGCAAGAGATCCAGAGCTGAGTATAGTGGAATCCACCCCATTGTCAGCCTCATGGGGTGTTGCCTGCCATGGGGTCCTGTCTCCGTGTGGCTCTCATTCCATTCTGTGGTGTGAGGTTAGCTAAGGCCCCGTGTACACCTCACTGCAGCCTACTATCTTCCGAAATGACATGGAACATTGCACTCAATTCACTAGTGCAACACCAGGGCCCATGTGAATACTTAGTACACTTGGACTTAGCACACTCAAAGCTTCCAGGGGAGTCTGAGAAAATACCAACATGAGCCTTGCTCACGAGACCTGGAAGCTCTGGGTGGGAGCAAAAGTGTGCATTCCTCCTACAGACCCAGGTAATATGGGATCGATGGTCAATGTGAACACACACAAACCAACCTCTTAGAGATGGTCTTTCAATCATTGATCTGCAGTGTATATTAAGCAACTGCTGAATGCAAAGGAAGAAGCCCCTGAAATTTCTGCATGTGAAGAAAAGTACAGGCCAGAGTACATCAAGAAGGCACATAGATCACAGCCAAGACCCAGGGGCCGGGGCTGGGACAACTGAGGTGCAGCTATGGACATTGGGTGCTTCAGAAATAAATACTATAGTTTATCGTGGAGCTGGTCCCCCAGCATTGCTCCTGGCATTTGCCTTGCTGATACATTGACGATGTCATCATAAACAGGAGAGGTATAGTAGTTCCCCCCACACACACTGTGACAAAACACCTGACAAGAGCAGCTTCAGGAAGGAAGCATTTGTTGGCTCTCAGTTGGAGGGGACACAGTCCATCTCCATCGTGGTGGCCATAGTGAAAGTAGGAGCTTGAGGCAGCAGGTCGCAGTGCCTCTGTGTTTCATCTGTAGTGAGAAAACAGACTGTGAACAGCAAGTGGAGCTGGGCTCTAAAACCTCACGCTGCCACTGATGTGACCACATTTCTAGCCCTTCTCCATAAGTGTCACACTAGAATGAACAGAAGTAACGACAATAGCAAAGACAGAAAACATATTGTTAACAAAATTAGATGTTGTATTGGTTTGAATGACAATTATGCCCCCCCCCACACACAACCCCATAGACTCAGACATTAAATACGTGGTCCCCAGTTGGTGGATTTTTTTTGGAGGTGTGGCCTTGTTAGAGGATGAATGGCACTGGAGGTGGCCTTTGAGAGTGAAAGACATTCACAATTTCCAGTTGCTGCCTCTGCTTCATGCTTGTGGTTTAAGACATAAAACTTCTGCTTGCTGCTCCAGCCACTATGCATTCCTGCTGTCCTGCCTCCCCCAATGCTGTGTGGACTCTTGTACCTCTGGAACCATAAGCTCAAATAAACCCTTCCTTCTCTAAGCTGCCCGGGTCATGGTGTTTTATCACAGCAACAGAAAAGTAGCTAATATGGAAGAATTACTGTCCTGTGGATCAAGTGTGTTAGTTAAGAAGAGAGCCTGGCTGGAGGCCTCACTCTCTCCCATCCCCATTTCTGTGTTCACACTTACTCTTCAGCCCTTCTGCATTCAGAAGTGTTTTCTTCCAGATGAGAAAGATGGAGGCTCCATTGTATGGGAAACCATATAACAGAGGTCTTCTTTTGGGAAAAAGAAGTGACAAAAAATATGCAGAGATGAAGTGTAATCCAAGGGTGTTTCCTCTTGGTGCAAAGAGGCCTTAGGGTAGTAGAGTAGCTAGATCTGGGTTGGGAAGAAAAAAGGAGGAGGAAGAAGAGAAGGAAGAGGAGTAGGAGAAGGTAGAGGAGAAGGAGGAAGAGGAAAAGGAGAAGGAAGAGGAGGAAGAGGAAGAGAGAAGGAGGAGGAGGAGCAGGAGGAGGAAGAAGAAATCTGGTGGGTTTCAGAAAATGTACCTTAGATCTTTCTTCTGCGCTGTTTAGACTGTTTACTCCAGAAGAGGTTACAGGTGACTAGTCCAAGCAGCCTGGGGTCATAGAATAGCATCTGTGTCCCCACACTTTGATAACATGTTCTAAAAGAAAACAGGGAACTAGAATAATTCACAGAGTGAATTATTATCCAAAATTGTGTTCTCCAACACTGCCTCCAACCAGTGATCAGCAGTGACCTCCTCCCACCCGGGCATGTGAAACTCCAAATCCACTTTCTGCACTGATGTGAGCCGCACCTAGGGTTTCTGTCTATTTCTGACAAGACAGACTGACAAGCATGCTCACAAGCACAGAGAAGGAAACTTCAAGACACATGCCACTTGCTTCCTTTAAAAAGAAGTGAGAGGTGAGGATTTGGACCGTTGTGGAGACATAGACAGAGCTTGATACATTGTTGCCCATAGTATGGATTTGAACTGGTATGCGGACATTGCCTCAGGTAATAGCCTATTACCAAAAGGGAGCATCTAGAGGACGTGAACATTGGGCCTGTTGTGCCCACTGGCATCACCCCTAGGACCTTCCCAGACACAAACCTAAAGAATAAAATGCATGTTACTCAAATGCCTACCCATAATGTTCATAGACATTCATAAGCATAACAGCCAAAAAGTAAAAAAGAAAAGATAAAAACAGAAATGCCCATTATTAACTGATGAGTGGCAGGCAAATAATAGCGGGAGGGGAGCTGTCACATAAAATGCCTGGAATGTCTGAGCTTGCAGTGACAGGAGGTGGCTGTGTGTAGTGGGGGAGACTGGGAGGCAATGGAGAGGGACTCACAATGGATACAAAATTCCTTTTTTTGTTTGTTTTGCAAAAATGAAAATGTTCTAAACCTGATGTCAACATAACTCTAAAACTATGTTTTTGAAATAGTAGTTTTACATTTTTAATGGATACAGCAGCATATGTCTTATAGTTTCTATCGATAAGATAAAAACATGGTGACAAAAAGTGACTCGGGGACAACAGGATTTATTTCAGCTTGCAGTTGTCTTTTGTGGCCCCTGTTCGGACTCACTATCATTTAGTTATTTGTGGTGGGTATCAGGGCCTGCTCCTCCTACCATATGGTTCTATAAAGACCAGGGCTGTGTCTCACCACTTAGTGCCCTAGGTAAGTAACACGGTGCTTAGCAATAACAGAGCTTGATACATTGTTGCTCATAGTGTGGATTTGGACCGTTGTGGAGACATAGACAGAGCTTGATACATTGTTGCCCATAGTATGGATTTAAACTGGTATGCGGACATAGACAGAGCGTTATACATTGTTGCCCATAGTGTGGTGACATAGACAGAGCTTGATACATTGTTGACCTTAGTGTTGGGACATAGACAGAGCTTGATACATTGATGCCCATAGTGTGGATTTGGACTGGTGTGGGGGACATAGACACACACTTGGTTGGTGGCCTCATGCATGGCTCAAATTTCTTGTGACAAATGTAAACTGGATTCTCCCCTGCGTGTGTCTGAAGCACCAGACACACCAGGTCTCATCTCCATGGGCCCTCCTGGACCATTCCATTGGTCCTAGTTGTCTGTTATTACCAACTCGTTGGCTTGAGATGTGAGACTCCCCTGACGTCTGCTCATTCTTCCAAGGAGCACAGTTCTGGCTTCAAGGCCTTTTCTGGGGTAGCCACACACTCTGGAGTTCGGCTCCTGAACCACTCACAGGTTGTCTCTCTGTCTCCAGCTCTCCTGTACGCCACCATCTTTGGGAATGTGACAACCATTTTCCAGCAGATGTATGCCAACACCAACAGATATCATGAGATGCTCAACAGTGTCCGGGATTTCCTGAAGCTCTACCAGGTGCCCAAAGGGCTGAGTGAGCGGGTCATGGACTACATTGTGTCCACCTGGTCGATGTCCCGAGGCATCGACACAGAGAAGGTAAGGAGTGGGAGACCCTAGCTTTCCCCGGCAGGCTGGGCTCAGAATTAGCCTGGGTCATCTGGGATACTTGGTCCTCCTTCCAGGGGTTTTGATGGCCTCTCTCTGTTAAAATAAATCTTTCCACCAAAAGCCGCCAAACCCCTCCGCCACATGTGAGCTCTATGCCAGCCGCCTGCCTGGGTTAGGGCTCCAATTAATGCACAGAGAGACTTGTATTAGGTACAATGCTGCTTGGCCAATGACTAGAATTCTCATCTGTTAGCTCAGTCTCAATTATCATAAATCTATATATTTTATAAGACTTATCTTATAGAGGATGCCTTTTGCTGGCACCCTCTCTTGCCGGTGGCTCACATGGCACTGCTGGAGAGGAAGGGGAAAAAGGGGAGCCCTTCCTGTTTCCTTTGCTTAAATATGAGTCTCCTTGCTATGTCACTTCCTGCCTGGATCACCACTTCTCTACTACATTTCCCAGAATCCTCTTTGCCTCCTAATCCTGTCTAACTTGCTGTCTCATTGGCCAAACAGTATTTTATTCAATAATCAATAAGATAAACATACAAAGAAGTACATTCCCCATCACCTCTCTGTTGTCCTTAATGAGGGACCAGAAAGTAAGAGCCATAATTTAAGAAATCAAAGGCACGGCATGTCTCCTGGAATGAGGGGGACAGATGTCCTGCTGTCTAGGGTAACTTCCCAAAGCTGACCATGATAAAATGAAGAACCTGGGCAGGGGAAGCTGTTTCCTTTTGCCCCAGCTTCTCAGATGGCATATGATTTCTCTTGCTTATTTTTTATCTTCTCCTGAATTGGCATGTCCTGAGGCTACTCTCTCATTTGTCTCTTCCTCCTCTCAGTCCTGATAAGAATCACATGGCACTGTCATTAAAACTCCTAATTGCCATCCCAGACCCATGAGCACCAGGGGTGGTGGCCAGGGTCAGTAATTACCCTGGTAAGACTGCACCTCAGACAAGTCCAGGCAATACTGGTGATTGTCCGTGCCTTAGCCACCAGCTGGCGACTGTCACATCCTGCTGTGCAAGTAGCAAACCGTCCTGGGCATGGTTGTTTTCCGATAGTTGTGTTACTCCAGATTCATGCCAGTAAAGTGCAGAAATGTGTGTGGTTTCCTGAGAGAAGAGAAAATATACAGAGGGCTAATTTATGAATTATCTCCGTGTCCCCCACTCCCTTTGAGATGTACCATGTAGCCCAGGCTAGCCTGGATCTCTCTATGTAGCTCAGGGTGAACTTGAACTTCTCATTTTCTTGTGCCTATCTCCAGTGTGCTGGAAATAATGTGTGTGCACTACCACACCCACTGTCCCAAGGCCTATGTGTGCTAGACAAGCCCTGAGCCCAACCCATCCCCTGCTCTGTGTATTGCCCAGGACCAAAGCCTTATCCTCAACTCAGTTTCTCTGTTCCTTAGTCCTTCTGATTCCACTCCCCTCATGGCCAAAACCTGTCTATCCACAGTAGCATTAGGAAAACGGTAACACTATGGCAAAAATAGTTATGGACACTTTGAAATCCAGATTGACCAGGCTTTGTGGTCAGCAGTCACAGTCCCATTCTCCTCTATCTGAACAGATGGTTGAGTGCTGGCCATTTTTAAGGAATGCTCAGTTCTGCTGACCCTCCACTTGAAAAGCTCGTTGCTTTGGGTCTGACCACTATGCACCAAGATAAAACCACTACAGCACCAACTATCACTTCTTGAACATACACGGACAACAGGCATTTTGCCAGGTGTGGTGGTGCACACCTGTAATCAATCTCAGACTTGTGGGGTGGTAGCAGGGCAGCCATGAGTCTGAGGCCAGCCTGGGCTACATGGCAAACATTTGTCAGGGAAAACAGAAAGAACCAATGTTAGTTTGTGTGACTGTTACCCACCATGCTTTGTGTGGGCTTCACTTCCACTTGGGAAGGTGTGGCTGGAAGCTCTGTTGAGTGAGGGGGACCAGAGGCTTAGTTCATACTTTTTACTTCCCCTGGTCTAGGGTGATACCAGGATTTGGACCCAGTTTTCATCTGGTTTCAAAGCTTGTCTTTTTCCTACTAGTCTCCCTCTTTTAATATTTTTAAAGTTATGTTCTACTATGTGCTTGTGCACAGATGTGTGTGTGTACATGGGTGTGTGCTTGTGTACATGTGTGTATGTGTGTGCACGGTGTCACGGCCTGTCATGGGTTTTGTTTTCCTTCCTCTCATTTGGGTTTCGGGGATTGGCTTCAGGTCTTCATGCTCGGGAGTGTGCTTGTGACACCGCTGCCGAGCCATCTTTCAGGCTCCGCCTCATCTGGATGTAGAGCACACTAGGGGGATGACGGCTGAGGTTCAGGCCTCCCAGATGGGCAGGGTGTGAGCTGGCTCTTCTTGACTCCTGGCTTTGCCGGCTCCCCCACCCCAGCTGCACCTCTTGTTCCTGCTCATCACTGGCAACAATGCCTGCTGCTTCTGTGGGTGCCTGGCAGCTGATGGAGCAGAAAGCACTTTGATCTCTGCCCCGAAGCTCCTTTTTCCCAGCCGCTAGAATGACTCTGTAGATCCTGGTGTCTGGGAAAAGCCCTTCCTCATCCCCATTCCTGCAGGGCTGGGCAGGGGAACTGCCTGGGACACTGCACTGTCAGCACTGCATTCCTGTCCTGCTCACCTGCTTGCCTCCAGGAGGGTTTGGGTTCCACCCTCACTTCCTGGTTCAGAGGCCCAGCTGTAGCAGCATCTCATGGCAGAGGCCTGCCTGCAAAAGGAGGCAGCAGCAGCCGTGTGTGTGTGTGTGTGTGTGTGTGTGTGTGTGATCAGGAGTCTCTCTTCCCCTAGTTCCCATGTCTAGAATACATTGAAGACCACATGGCCTCTATGGCCTTTGGGCTAGCGATGACCTCCTGGACTGTGACAGCTCTGTAATGACATTGAATAAGGGCCCACAAATAGCTAGGTACCAGATGTTTCAACACACAGCATATGAAATCTCACAAAAATCCCACACACAAAAAGGAAGACTTGGCCCCAGGAGCTAAGCATTGTTCAAGTTCACACATGAGCTGTAGGCTGGAGCAGGACTGAATCCAGAGCCTCAACCTTGACCCATCGATGCCCGGCCCAGAGGAGGCTTCTTCATGGTCACAACTCTCAAGAGTGACATCTCAAAGCCTGGCAGTTGAGAGGGCAGCTGTGGGAGGCTGTGTGTCTAATGGTTGAGCCCCTCCCTCCGAGAGAGGGCATGCTACCTATCCTCTTACTGCAGTGTAGAACTTGCAGACGGGAACAACAATGGAGACGCTACACAGCCCAGAGTTTGCCATCCTCCCCCCCCACCACACACACACACACACACACACACACACACACACACACACACACACGTCTTTTTCATGGTTCTGGAATCAGTGTCCTGAAAATGATTGCCTCCTGATCAAACCATTATGCAGGAGACTAACTCAGGAAAGCAAATACTTGAATGTGAACTTACCTGGAGAATTAACCTTGGTTCTGCTATTGGACACTGCTTGGAAATGATATGTGTATCTCCACCAGCTTGTGATCCACACGGAGAAAACCCTTGGGTCAGCACTTTTGCATTAGTCTCCTTTGTCACGATCTCTCGGCCAAGGCCTTGTGCCTCCACCACTCCTCCATCCGTTCTCTCAGAGAGGCTCGTGTTTTGTCCATCCTATAGCCCAACACAGGGATGCAGAGGCACCCAGAGACAGGGATGTATCTCAGACAAGTGCTGCAGCGTCACCTTAGCTTTGGAGTCAGTGTTGGTAGTCAGTACTCTACAGGAGAGATGAAGCACAGAGTACTTAAGTTACTACTCAGTAACCGGGGGTTCAGTCATGTGACCTCTCTACCCACTGCTCCACCTCCACATAGACACTGAAGGGAGGAAGTGAAGACATCCAGGGCAAGAGCTGATCTGATCTGGGGAGGCTGGTGCAGAAACCCCAGATGCAGAGGCAGATGGCTGGTTCTAGGACAGGAACGAGGCCTGGGAAGTCCCCAGCACCACAAGAAGTCGCCACTGAATGATCACACCTGATTCCATGCCCCCTACCTGGTTTACAGAATCGCACAGAAAAAAATGCTTTAAAAACACTGCTGATTTCTCTGAAAAAGCCCTCTGGAAGGTGTCCTATCGTGTCTCTTAATGCTTGCCATAAAGCTATGCAGTGGTTTCTTGCAAACACTTAGTCCACAGAAATATCTCTTGCTCTGAAAAGCTGGGCAATTTTTCAGTTATTTAGAAAAAAAAACAAGATCCACATGGTTTGCTGTTGCTGGTTTGTTTTTTAAATGCTGCAAGTCAGGGCTGGGGGCATACATAGCCCAGATGCTAGAGTGGTTGTCTGGCATGTGCAGAGCTCTGGGTCTCCTCCTCAGTATTATGGATGGGGGTGGGGATGCTGCCAGTCAAATTGCAACCCATTAGCTTTGCAGAACTGCCTTCTGGCATAGCTGGTTAGGCTGTAACCAGGCTCTGATGCCTAGCCACCTAGTGTGAAAGCTGAGATCTGATGTTTCCTGGCTGGGAAACTTTGGGCTTCCCTGTGTCTCAGCTTCCTCATCTGAACTCACAGAATTTAAAAGCACATCCTAGAGTTTCTGTGGGGACCAAATTAGCAAACACACTTTCAAATATAAAGTTACACTCCCTGTCCTTTCTGTCTTCCTTGTTGTCCTCAGTGATTGCTACCAAATTTTGTTTATTTTGCTTGTCTTTTGCCTCCTCTTACTAGACAGTAAACTCCATGAGAGCAGATTTTTTTTGTCTACTTTTTTTTTTTTTTTTTTTTTTTTGGAGACAGGGTTCTCTATGTAGTCCTGGCTGTCCTGGAACTCACTCTGTAGACCAGGCTGGACTCTCAGATGTCTCTTTAAATACCATTCCATATGCATTCTATCAGCAGGTCATGGCAGCTATATAATCAGAATACACTCTGTAGCTTAATGTGACCCCATTATGTTACAGAATGCTAGGCTGTTTCTCCTACCTGTAATTTTGTACCTCTTAACCAATTTACTGTGTTTCCAAATGGCCAGAAGAGAGTGTTTAGAATGTTCTCCACACAAAGGAACAATGAATATTTAAAGGGATGGATACACTGTTTACTTTGTTCATGTATTGTATGCATATTGAAATATCATGCTGTACCCCTGAGATACATGCACGTGTGTGTGTGTGCGCGCGCGTGCGTATGCGCTTGATTTACTTGTTTGTGGATGTGATCTGAACATGGCCACTTCTTGCTGGCTGCACTGAACCATCCCAGTCCAAGCTCCTCTCACCCACCTTTCCCCTTGACTCCTCTGTTGCAGCCCCCCCACACACACACCATCAAAGCCCTCTAATCCCTCTCAGGGGCCCCAGATGACATCAGTCCCCTAAATCTGTGTCCCTGGCTACCGTCAATGACTCACAAGTGTCTCCATGCTCAGTGTTTTCTCTGCATGATGTCCCTTAGCCCTCCCTCCCCTGTCTTAGGTGGATGATTGCTCAGGCCTGCAGAGCCTTTGTGTTAGCTATCCTGTTGGAACGTTCTCCTTCTGTGAGGTTCAGTCAGACACATTCTGAAGCTGTCATTTGAAACTCCAGCTTCTCAGAGAGGCGCTCTCATGCCCTATACACTCTTAGCCCTGACTTTCAGACACATGTACTGAGCATTCAGCAGACTGAGCTAGCATCTAGACACTGCCTGATTTTCCCATGGCACTGAAGCATAGGAGTGCAGTCTGGCCTCCTGGGTGTTGCCCTGTGCCCAGGGAGCTGAGTGAATGAGGCTGGGGAGTGGTCCTCACACTGTCTCTTCCTTGTCTGGCCAGGTCCTGCAGATCTGTCCCAAGGACATGAGAGCTGACATTTGCGTGCACCTGAACCGCAAAGTGTTCAAGGAGCACCCCGCCTTCCGGCTGGCCAGCGATGGCTGCCTGCGGGCCTTGGCCATGGAGTTCCAGACAGTGCACTGCGCCCCGGGGGACCTCATCTACCATGCTGGGGAGAGTGTGGACAGCCTCTGCTTCGTGGTCTCAGGCTCCCTGGAGGTGATCCAGGATGACGAGGTGGTGGCCATCCTAGGTACGTGCTGCCCATTCTCCATGCCATTCTGGTCTCCTACTTGAGGTTGTCTTAGTCACTGGACAGCCACATTTAATCAGAGATTGCTCCTCAGGGCAGGCTCATTTCTAACATCCATTCATCTAGGTGGAGTGTCTGCTTTGGACCAATCTGTTTGAGACACTTAGGGATTTCTCCTCAAGAGGCTGCAGCTCCTGGAAGAGATGAACAAACAAGCAATCATTCAGAATGTAGCAGAAGGGGCATCTCACTGGAGATTCAAGTGAGAAGGCTTCCTAGATGACATGACACCCAGGAAGAAGCCAACAGTTGAAAATGAGTTAGCACAGAGCAGGGTAAAGGCAGGGTTCCAAAAAGAGGTGGAAGCCTGTATGACAGAGGCAGGCAGGTGTGACTCACAGAGGTCAACTACAAGTCACTTCGTGTGGCATGAGCACACGGAAGGGCCATGGTGAGAGATGAAGTTGGGAGGGAGTCGATAGACCAAAGGCTCCAGGAACCACATTAAAGGATGTAGATTGTGCTGGGGCTGGCAGGAGGAGGGCAGTGGTGAACTGAAGGCAGGGAAGGGGCACCATCATGTTTGTATGTGTGAAAAAAGACAGAAGGTAGAGGCTGGACTGCAGGGCCAGGGAAATCAGGTGGGAACCATGTTATCTGGGGGCTTAATGAACTAAGACGTGGGTAGAGGTAAGAAGTAGAATTTAAAGAAATCCAGTGACAGGTTTGCTGTTAGGAGAGAGAAAAGTCAGTGAGGATGGTAGGGTTTCTCATGGGGACAGGATGGCATTTGAGAGGCTGACCATCAGTGGCCTTGGAGAAACTTTCTGAAGCGGCTACAGAATAGCTCTTCAATGAGCACGTCTCTTCAAGGGGACAGGCCGTCACCAGTCTAATCGTCATTTATGGACATCTGCTTGGTGCCTCTGTATAGTGCAGATGGGTCCCCATTTAACCCTTACAGCAATCCTGCAACGTAGCTTTGTTATTCCCAGTTTTTAGGTGAGACAGTGCAAGTTCAGAGAGGTTAAGGAAGTGTTGTCATAGCAGCTGTGGCCCATGGAGTCCCATTCCAGCACCCCTGGGTCTTCCACCCCTCTGCTCCTGCCCAGCATTTGAACCAAAATCTTAGTGATGGCTAGTGGAATCACAGGTCCTGGATGCTGTTGGTACAGCTGCAGTTTGTGGCTGTGTGCTTTAGGTTCAACGTGTGACTGATTTCTCAGAGAACTGAGGGGTGAAATGGTTCCATCGGTGCTAGAATGAGGATGCTGGTTATGTAGAGATGGGTGATATTTTTAAAGCCAGAGTTTTGCTCCTGTCTGATTTTGTTGTTACCTGAAACACAGCTTCCTTCTTGCTCCTGGGGCACCTTGCCAGCCTTCCCTCTTGGTTACGTTGTACTCAGGGTAATCCAAGGGTGATTTATATTCCTTCAGCATGTGCTGGCAGATGGTTGGGGAAGTCTTTTGATTCTGGGTTGGGGATGAAGTCTGTCTTGTCTGCTGGGTACCATGGTGCCCATGGAGCCTAACAGTCTCATCCTGCTGTCCCTTACTCCCTCATCTCAGAGAAGTTAGGCTGTGTGCCAGATACAGGAGTGAGGAAGACATTGTTGTAGTGTAGATGAATTAAGTGGTTCATACCCCTGCCTTTAAAGTCACCAATGAGGGCGTTGGGTTATCCAGGATTCACCACTGAGGGCATTGGATTAGCCAGGATTCACCAGTGAGGGTGTTGGGTTAGCCAGGATTCATCAGTGAGGGTGTTGGGTTAGCCAGGCTTCTTGCAGGACTAAGAAACTGCTGAGCAATTCTTTGAATTTAGATTTGAAGTAACCCTTTGGGGTCATGTCTCTTGGGCCAATTTCTCCACATATCACTCACCATTTACTCTTCCAGGAAATCCATCCTGAGGTGTTCATGATCAGAGATTTATTATTATTATTATTATTACATTAAATTTATTCATTTATTTTACATCCCAACCACAATTTCCCCTCCCTCCTCGCCTTCCATTCCCTCCTCCCATCTTCCCTGTACCCCGCCCCCCATCCACTCCTCTGTTTCTGTTCAGAAAGGGTCAGGCCTCCCCATGGCTGTCAACAAAGCATGGCATATCCAGTTGAGATTGTATAAAGGCTGGGCAAGGCAACTCAGTATTAGGAATAAGATCCTGGAAGCCAGGACAGACCCTACTTCCACCACCAGAAGTCCCACAAAGTAGATCAAACTATACAACTGTCACACAGATGTAGAGGGCCGGTCCCATGCAGGCTCCCTAGCTGTCCGCCCAGAGTCTGTGAACTCCTGTGAGCCCAGGTTGGTTGTTTCTGTGGGTTCTCTTGTGATGACCTTGACCCCCCAGCTCCCTGCCTTGTGTAACCCTTCCTCCCTCCCTTCAGTAGAATTCCCCAAGCTCGGCCCAGTGCTTGGCTGTGGATCTCTACATCTGTTTCCATCAGTCACTGGATGAAGGCTCTCTGATGACAACTGGAGTAGTTACCAATCTGATTACAGGATATGGCCAGTCCAGGCTACATATCTACTACTGCTAGGATTCTTAGCTGGGATCATTCTTATAGATTCGTGGAAGTTTCCCTTGCATCAGGTTTCTAACTGACCCCCCAGAATACATCCCCCCTCCATCAAGACATCATGGCAACATGAGGGATTGGGTTGAGGGGGAGAGGGAGAGTAATGATCAGAGATTTTTAATGCCCTGCCATAGACACCTGCAGTATAGATTCAGGCATGGAGGGGCAGTAGCCTTGAAGAGAGATGAGAAGGGCAAATGACCACTCCTTACCCCCCTCCCTGCTGATGCTGTCCTTTTTAAGAGGCAGAAGCCCCACAACCTGGTTGATTTGACAGGTTTACTGCGTCTCCAAATCTAGTCCTCTGGGCATCCTGCCTGCTCCAGTTAGCATTGTGGTTGGACCTCAAATATAGCTCAGCAGCTTTGGATTCAAAATGTTGGTTGTTCTCAAGATGTCCAGGCTAGAAAAAAAGCCTCCTATGCTTCCCAAGAGCCAGATTGGGCCCCAAAAGTAGGTCCAGGCTCGATATCCTAAATAACTTGCCAAAAGACTTTTATTCTATAAAAGGAGATGACAAGTTCTTTGAGAGTCAACCTGTCCTTTGGGCCTCAAGGCATGTAACATTCCAAGCTGTTTGTTCCCTGGAAACACACTTGGACCTTTTTAAAATTCCCTTCTCCTTAGAATAAGCTATGCCCAATGAACTGCAATCAGTTTCTTCTTAGGAAGAGTTTCAGCATCAAATGGGTTTGTGAACAAGACCGCCATTGTCCTCCGATGCCCTTTAGTTTACTCTTGCCCAGATTTGTTGAACAGGCGCTGTCATGAGTGGGGCACTGTGGTAACTAAACCTTATCCCAGCCCTCAAGGTCTGCTTGAGGAGCAACTGGCTCTAGACATCTGCCACTGTGTCATGGAGAAGGCAAAGAATGCTTCTGGGGTATCGTGGGATGAGTAGCTGCTGAGCACTGTTGTGTGCCCAGTGTCCCACTAAGGAAGGGAACGATACCAGTGGTCAGAGCAGGATGCTGTAGAGAGGGCACTGGGATCTGCTGCCCCCACCTCAGCCTCTGGTCTCCTGTTGCCAGTTCACACATTTACAACCTGATGATATGGCTCTCCCTTCAGTTATAGTATCCCATCCCCATTTTCCATTTAATTTTAGTGCAGAATCCAAGAACAAGGAGCGTTTTCAGTGAAATCTTATTCAAAGCAGTTGGAATGGAAAGGCACAGGCATCGGTTTCTGCCATGCCTTCCGCTGGCATCTGCCTGTCAGATGTACTGCTGTTCTGTGTCTGACCAACGTGAGCGAGCCGAGCCTAGCGTGCCCACTGGCTCGTGTGTGCTGATTTTCCCCCAGCATTTCTGTCTCAGACCTGCAGAGCTGGTAGGAGCTCCTTTCACTGGGGTTAAGTCAGTTATATGGGTTTTGCATCTGAAAACTTCATTTACAGTTTCATCAGATTGTCCTGTTCGTTTTGTTTATACTCTAATAGGTGAGACAGAAGTCTTCCACCAGGCTGTGTCTCATAGCAGAAGGAAGACACAATGGTGGCCTCCATGAAGTTGCCACTAAACTGGCTGAGTCCCCAAGGCTTCCCTCCCAGTGTCTGCTAAGCCTGTACTCTGCTTACCCCTCTTTTCTCAGCCCTGGTCTATTTGACTTTGTCTCTCTGGTATCAAGCACGTAGCCATGGGAGATGTCAGGGGCTGTTTACTGAACAGTGGAGTTGGAAGCAGGCTAAGGGGCTGGAGAGAGGACTTGTCTACCATGTTGTCATGCCCTGGGTCTGGTAGTTATGACTGCAAAATAAATAAGCGGACAAACCAAAGAAGAATAAAAGCAGGCAAAGGCTAGACTGTGAAGGCGCTCGTGATCTCGGGTAAGCATGTGGACCTTTTCCTGTAGGGATGAGGGATCCAGAGAGAGTTTTTGACAGGGAGTGGCATGGAAGCGCTGGTTCCATTGGAAGGCATGGAGAGGAACCAGGAAGGATGTGTGGGAGTAAGGGGCAGGTGGAAGGCAGGTGGGAAGGAAAGCCCGGGCTCAGAGGCAGCACAGTAGTGCAGCTGGTGCAGTGTGATGGGAAGGACTAGGGAATGGCTTCCCATGGATCCTGGAGGGTCAACAGGGCCGAGGGGTGGGAAGGAAAAGAGGAGGAGGGAAGATGATGGAAGAGGAGGGAAGATGGGCACATGATGCTTCTTGCAGATGCAGGCACAGCTCTCAACTAGAGGAAACTGTCTTCAGTGTGCCCAAGTCTCTGGATGACCCTGAGCCTGGCCAAGGATGGGATGGGAGAACAGTGTGAGCTAAGTGCAGGGCAGGCCTAACCTCTTAGGCACAGGCCTTTCCCCAGTGCTGTCCCTGGGGCCTGAGGACCCCACTTAGGTCCTTGCTAATCATGCAGGTTAGTTAGTGCCTGCTCACAGAGGAACTTTGCTTCTCTCACTTGCCC